CAAAATATGAACGAGTTCATGAACTTTCGTTCAATGAACGCGTTCAGGCACAACACTGTTAGTACATATATAACTATTACAAAATTTTTATAATGTGATTTTTTTGTAATAATAAAGGACGCGTTCAGGCACAACACTGCATATATTTATTAATATCCTCTACCCAAATGCTGGGTCAAATTGTTTCAGCAGCTACATACATACATTTATGTTCAGTAATCTTCTTAAATGCTTAGCAAAATTGTCGCAAACCTCACATTGATTCCAGCATATTACAGGACAATCATTAGGATAATGAATTGCAATGGACTATTGATATCTATAACAAAATACATGCTAAATTTGGTCATCCAAAGCATGTTTTATGCAATAAACACAATAATGGAATCTTTACAAGGTACCACCTTGAAATGTAATAATAATTAGAGCCCACAATACAAAAAGGAAACAGTCAGGTTAATCATTGAACAAGATTAACTTGACTGTTTAAACATTTTAAGTTTAAACTAGGTTCGTTAAAACTGCACATGTCAAACTGGTAACTTCCTGTACATTATGCTGTTAGTTCAACTCATCAACTTATCTTTCCAGGGGATGAATTAAAAACCCAAAAAAACAGGTGCAGGGTGAACCAATGCATGTTGGGTTGATGATTTTTGTCATTATGAGTCAGTGCATGGGTTGCACATAAAAATAATCCAACCACCCTAAATATGACTCATAATATATATACATCTAGCCTGTAATTTGTTTAGAGTGTACTGTAAGCTGTCAGGCAGGTCCTGTTAAAATAATTTCCATTTTTTACAGGTCTGGCAGTAAACAAATCACATGATTCATCAAAAATGTATGATTTAAAAGGATCTGATGAGGTCAATTACATTTTCATACAATATCAAGCTAGTTTGGATTTCTTCTTCCATCATGGGATACTCAAATCACATTTTAACTTTATTTTTATAAAGCAGATATGTTTCAGGGATCGAAATTTGTTTAATAATCTGAAATTAATGTAAAAATGCAGAAATGAAAAAAAATCTGTATACAAAATCCTTTTCACCTATACTGTAATCTTAATTAATGCATACCAACATTTTACAGACTGATTGCAGGGAGACAGCAGAGGGTTCGTCATTAAAAGTATCTACAAAAATTAACCTGCAAAAACAATGGCTTGCACCCCTGCACCCCACCCCCACCCACCAATAAAAAAAAAACAATTATAATTTGATGAAATGACTGTTGTATGGGAAACAGAACTATATTCTTCTCTAAAATATCTACAAAAATTATGCAAGTTCTGACGTTAATGTCATATAAACAGTGTTTTTAAGACTAAGAAAAGAAGCAGCTTCATAGAACAAACTGTCCATGTGATTTTTATCTCAACAGTAGTTTAATAATTAAATTTCCTTATAGCACCCGCTGTTTTTACTTCAAAGCTAGTCATCATATACAAAACTCCATCTGTAGCTCAGAACCTCCATGAAAAAGCTGCTAACAGCAAACAATGAATTAAACACTTCCATCCACTGCTATCCATACACGTTTTTTTTTACATCCAGAGCTGCACAACCTGAGCAGAATAAAATAAAGTCTTACCTTCACAATAAGTAGAATCCCCATGGATGGAGGCATAGCCGCTCTTACATTCACACTCTGCTTTAGTATTCCTGTTTTTACACTCAGAGTTTTCTCCACAAATGAGTCCCTCTGCGCAGAAGTCATAACCTGAAAAAGAGAAGCAAAGGGAGTAATAAAATTTGCTCACTCAAGGATATGAAACATTTTGTATAGACAGTCAATGTACAAATGGAGTTCTGTGGAAAGAGGCACAAATACTTTTAATCATGGATGTGAGTACGCCGTATGTACATGTCTATATAAAAGTGATGCTTTAGTGGAAAGATTCTCAAACATCAATAATAAAATATAACTATGCAGAATTACTGCTGATGTAGCAACTGGCTGTATATTATGGTAGGTGAAAATATTGCTTAGATGTTGCTCTTTCACTGCCAACATTATATTTTCATGATTTTTAGACAAATATTTTATTTTAACTGACAAGATAACATTGATTCAGTCAAATACAACCCATTATGTTTACTTCCGAGAGCAAACTGTGTGCAGAACTTCAATGTTTCATCTCTGCTTCAATCAGCCATATCATGCCTGCAGTTAGGTAAACTGAAGAACAAAATAAATTCTGTTACAACACAATGTTCAGCTAAGAAAACAAATCTTGATTGCATAAATCTTTGCTTTGAACCATACAACCCTTAGATAGTGAATTGCTCTTAACTGTTGTGTGAAATACTTTTAATCTAATCCTCCTCCATGTAACTTGATCTGAATCTGACTGTCACAATTGAATTGTGTTTACAAAGAACAGATTTATCTAAATTGAATTTAATTTGAAAACAGATTGAATGTGAAATGGGGCATTTTGTATAGTAAAATACCTTGAGATAACACATATAATTATTTATACAACTTTACACAAAGCATATCAAGACAATGAAAGTGCTACACATTTAGAAATGGAAAAAAATAAAATAAAAATATAAGGAGAAAAAAAAACAAATCAGAGAACCATAAAAAAGGAAGAAAAATAAATAAATAAAAAGTTGCAATGCTACTTTCTTTAAAACCAGGCTGGGAGGAATGAGATTTAAGATTCCATTTAAATATTTAAATAAATGGCTAAGCATAGATCCAGTGGGAGTACCTCCAGAATCTGGATGCTGTTACTAACAAAGCCATGGTTAAACCAGTGTTGGAATCTGGTTATTGGAATAACTAATAAAAATGATTTTAAGACCTTAACGACCTGCCAGGTACAGATCTGAAAAAGTACACAAACAGGGAGGAGAGAGGCCATCAAGTGTTTAAAAAAAAAAAAATATATATATATATATATATATTAGGGATGGGACGATTTATGAAAACCGTCCGAACCGTTCGGTTCGACTGTCTCGGTTCGGTTCGCGTGTGTTTCGTTCGGTTTGTGCGCTGCTCCTTTTTCTCATAGGCGAAGCGTTTACACTCCAGAGCAGAAGGTGCCGCTACTGCG